AGGAATGTTCAAAGTGATGAAAAACATGGAACTACAACCAAGATTGCTCGACCCAGCAAAGCTATCATTTAGAATTGAAGGTCAGATAAAGAGCTTCACAGATAAGAAAAAGCTAAAGGAGTTAATCACTACAGAAAATGTTGAAGGGTCTAATGAACAAAAGAATCTGATGAGCTAAATAGATCCGGAGACGTTGACACATGCAACAGACGATCATATTTCAGAGGGAAGAGGGAAGGGCGTGGAGGGTGGGAAGAGGTTAACCAAAGAAGTTATATGCATATATGCATAACCCATGGACACAGTCAATAACAGGGTGAAGGCCTGAGAAGGGGGTGGGGTCGAAGTGGAGGGGGTCAGTTGCTGGGGAAAATGGTATGCCTGTAATACTCTCCACAATAAAGATAAATTTAAAAAGTAAAAAAAGAAAAAAGAAAAGAAAAGCCAACCAAGTGAGGTTTGTCTGGGTAGCTTATATTGCCTGAGGCTCACTGTTTTGTATGCTGATTTTGAATCTTCTGGGAGGTACTCTTGTGTCAGCCAAAGTCAGGGGCTATCTAGGTTTGTCTCTGGTGTCCTCATGTAGCTGAATGATCTGAGCTCTCTGTGGACCAACTCAACCTGTCAGCCATTTTGTCTTCCCCTGGTTGTTGCTTGGTGTTACTTAAACATCTTCCTAAAGAGTCTTTAGGTTTCAGGCTGGTTAGTGTAGCTTGGGCTATTGCATCCCTTACTTAGAGATTTTGCTGTCAGACACTAACTTTGGGGAAGTTAATCTCTGCTTCAAAACTAACTCCTTAGTTTCTACTATATTCTCCAATTCTAATTCCCCATACACTGGCCTGCTGTATGTTCAGATTGAATTCAGTTTGTTACCTCTTCTCTATGGGCATTTTCAGCTGGCCTGAGCTCAGTGGGATTTATCCAAAGAGACTCTGATGTGCACCTTGCCTGCCCAGCCCCTAGAAGGGATTTTAAGCATTTCCTTTGTTTCCCAAACAAAAGTCCCTGAGAGTCTTACTCTTACAGTGCCTTCCTATGAGCTGTACTCTCTTTCCCCAATGAACTGTGTGCAGCAGGGGTATATGGGGTTTCAGTGAGTCAAATCAGCTTCTTCTCTATTGGGGGTTGTACTCCTAGCCTTCAGGAGAAGTAGACATGCTTCACCTCTCCTTTTCCAGTTCTAATTGGCTGATCTCACAGTGAGCTCATTTCAAACACTGTTCAATGTAGGCACAAAACCCAGTTTTCACTGGTCTGTCTTCCAAATGTAAGCGAGGAAGGTGCATGCTGTGGGATACCATCCAATAATAAAAATATATAAATTGACAGGCAGAAAGGATTCCAGATCCAGGTGAGGATCTGGCACCTTTGCACCTCATGTCCAAACAAGGGGGGTTACAAAGTCAGACCCATACAGGTCTCCCACACAGCTGAAATTAGTAAAGCTGGGGCAGCTCTGTTCCATATCCTGGCTTTCTTTAGAGCAGGTAGAAAATCCCCATTCCTCCACACTGGCAGCTCAGGTCCTTCTCTCTGGTGGTAGCAGGTCTCCCTTACCCTTCCCAGAGCCATGCAGTTCAAATGCTTCCTGAGGACATGTAGAATGCCCTACAGGAAAGCAGAGGGCCCCTTTAGGTCACTGTTGGGTTCAACCCACAGGTCCCTTTGTATTCTGAAGCCACAGACTGCAGGGCAGTCTTTCCTGCAGTCAGAACCTGGAGTAAATCTCTCATGCCCTTGCTGCCACCATTAGGCGCATTGTTTCACTGGGACAGTGTGGACCCCACCTTGCAGTCAGACTGTCCCACTGGTTCCATTTGCTGAATGTGCATGGGCTCTCCTTTCCTTCTCCACCACTTAAGGTTTGAGATCCTAGCTTTTGGGTGCCAGTCCACACTCCCAGAGGAGGGAACTTTGCAGCCTCCAACCCTCAGGCCTCTTTGCCAAGCATCAGCTTTAGGGGATACTGCCTTTTTCTATATCTCCTTCTCTCTTACCAGTCTCTGTGATGTTTCTTCAGTGCTCCTTGGTCAAAATATGTCCTATCAGCTATATTTCTTTTATTTTTACAAGCTGGCTATACAATATTTTAGTTGTAAATCTAGTCCATGGCTTGAAGCAAAGGCTCTCTGCCTTTTGTTAGAGGGCAACTATCTTTGAAATTCCCCTCTAGTGTATTCTTTGGAAAAAAATACATATATGTTTTTATTGGTTTCAGAGAGAGGAAGGGAGAAGAAGAGAGATAGAAATATCAATGGATCCCTACCCAGTTGTTTTCAGGGTTTAGAACATCAACCCTTGGACTAAAGAGTCCTGGGTTGGATTCCAGTCAAGGGCATGTACCTCAATTGCAGGCTTAAACCCTGGATCTGGGTGGGATGTGTACTGGAGGCACCATGTTGATGTGTCTCTCTCACATCAATACATCTCTTTCAATCTCTCCCGTCCACTCTCTCTGAATAGCAATGGAAACTATCCATTAAATAAATAATATATATTTTTAAAATTTATCTTTATTGTTAACACTATTACAG